ATGTTTTGTTAAATTTTTAACGCACATTATTACAGCATCAAAAGTTTTACCGATTATTGTTAAATTCGCCACGTCTGGTTTGTTTCGGTTTTCCTAGTTGCTTGCCCATTGTCGCCCGTCGACTACAAACCAGGTTGAGGCTGCTGATGGGTGGACTGGGGGGTTCGAGGTCGGAGGTTTGAGATGAGGACGACTCGACCCACTCGCTGGCCTTTTTGTGCGCATTCATCATTATTGTGGGCCCGCTGCTAAGTCGTGTCACCCGCCCAACGCCCATCCATTACATCGCCCTCGACAAGTGTGTCAGGTCCAAATGGCAGTCGGCGGTTGTTTCGCGGCGTACAAGTTCAAAATCAACTATTCTTGGCTGAGTTTTCAGGCCACACCAGGAACCTGCACATTTTCCCAGCCACGGAGCTTTAATCGAACTAGATTCCAAAAAGAATTTCAGTTAATTTCTCGAACAAGTTTCCGCTTAGCAAATGCAACAAATGGCTATAAATAAACTAAACCCATGACCCCATTAAAAAATCAGAACAAAACTCGAGTAAATAAACCGAACAACTTTAGCTGACCAACGAAAAAAGTTGGGAATAAACTACGAGCGAACTGCACTCAACTTGTAATGAAGTTTCAATATACAAATCAATAAGGACCAAACGGGCAGGCCAACCTCCTTGAGTCCAGGACCTGCAGTCTGCACACCGCCCTGAAAATACGAACAAAAAGCAAACAACTTGAGCGTCGAGAGGCAGAGCAACAATCTGTGAGATGCACAGATGAGGCCCACTGATGTTTGGGTCAGTTGCAAACTTTTTAGACTCCTCATTCCCGTAGACGGGAAATCAGGGGCGTGGAGAGGCAAGGGGGTCTGTCTATGGCTGGCATCGGCAGGAGAAGTTAATGATGTCACTTCCACTTTTACCCAGAGGCCGAAGACATCAACCCAACCGCCTTCGATGCGAGCTGCGGCAGACCGAAGTGGAACGTGTGAAAAATACGAAACTATTAAACCATCGCTGTGTTGGCCAGAGAGACACAGCCACAGAAACCGTTTAAGCCACAAGGATAAGGGGACCATGATTGGAGGGATCAACTGATTGGGTACACGAATCCAAATTAAATTTTCACAACATTCTATATCTATCTGTGTATCACTGCATTAATAGTCTTGAGCTAAAAGGGGTCTGGGGGTCTAGTAGTAAACCAAATAAATTATAATTACTACTTTCTTATGAATTTAAAAAATATTTTTTTAACCACTTTATAAATAAGTCTTATCATTCGATTTTTCATATTAAATCGTTCATAAGATATTAATTAGGGGCCAAGTATTAGGAATGACAAACAAATCTCTAAAACTATTGCCTAAGGGTGTGCAACGACCTATCTATTTGAAACCCTTTTTTCCGGTGCCCTCAATTTTATTCATATTTTTGGAAATATAGCTGGTAACTGCTCCACCCTTTTGATGTAATTATAACCTTACTTGAACATTTGGCTAATTCCGAGAGTTTAAATACGAAAACAATTACATCACTCAAACCGAAATGGGGAAGAGGGAATAGGGCTGAGAAGAAACACCAATAATCGCGCAACGCACTTAGCCAAATTTCAAGCAATTAAATCTTTAATTCGCGCTTAAAAGCTGTTTTACCCCAAAGACTCTACCCGGCTTCCATTTTCCCTATTTTCTGCAGGGGGTAGCTAACTAATTATAAAACGGATGCGCCGCATTTGCCACCCCGAAACTCCCCGTCGTCTCCTCTTTTTTGGGGAGCGCTTTGTTTAAGGCCGCAAGTCCCAACCAGAAAAGGGACAGATAAATGCGACGGTCTGCTCCTAAAATAACAGTATTTTGCATAATTGTTGACCCAGAAAGTCCGAAAAGAAAGCAGCAACAAAACAGGGGAACGATGCTGCAAAGAATGTAATTTCTTTTTCTTATTTTCCCCAGCATTTTCCCTCGGCGTCGCTGTGGGAACCGCCAGTGATTTGTAATTAGGAAACGGCCGCCAACTGTCGCCTTGGTTTTGGCCTGGCTCGGACGATGCCACGCCCCATTTGCACCGCAACGGAGGCGGTGGCAGTGGCAGCGGCAGCGGCAGCGGCTGGAGGCATTAGCGAACCTTAAATACCCAAGTGCCATCTGCTAAGGGGAAAGCGGCTACAAAAAAAGGTGACCGGGAAAAATTAAATGAATGAAAAGTGCTAGAAGAAAAGTGTAAAGCAATGACGGCGACGCCTGGTGCCCCCCTTAAACCCCCTTCCCACACTCCCTTTTGGCCATTTTCGCAGTTTGTGGCTTGGCGGAAGAAGAGGGGGAAAAGCGCAAAAGGGATGGTGGAAAGCTGTGGCGAAGATTCCACCCATTTGTGTGCGTAGTTGGCGAAAGTTTATTAAACATTTAAATTCACTCATTTCGCTTTGGGACTGCTCCTTTCTTTTTCGGCTGGGGAAATGACCAAAAATTGAAATTATTTCATGTCCGGTGTCACCATTTTGGCCTTCCGTTTTGGGTTCGAGTTTGAGTCGGGGTCCTCGTCCTCGGCTAGCGGCCTTTTGCTTAAAAATAAATCCATTGATGCAGAACTTTTGAAACTTCATTTTCAACGGAAATTTATAATTTTGGGCCAGCGGCCTTGGACGGTCCTTGTTTACTCATGTCCTGCATGCTTCCGTTTTCCACTTTTCCATTTCTCTGCCTTTTGGACCACCGGAAAAGACCTTTTCTTTCTGCATAATTTCGGGAAATATGTTTGCAGCAGTTGGTAATATTTCAGGGAAAGTTTGGGGCAATGATTTATGGTGGGGAATGCCTTATAAAACGGTGCAGGCGAAGGGTTTCTTATAGAACATCTTAATTCATGAGAATTGATTTAATTACAATACGCTCTTTGAGAAAAGTTCACTGCTTGTTTGCAGGAAAAGAATGTACGTAGTTGTTTGTGTTTGTTAATAACTGTTTGGATTGGATTGTTTATTTAATACGAATAATATAGTTGGCTTTTTTTCTAATTGGTTTGTCTTATTAATTAACATTTAAAAGTATTAAAAGTCTAATAATAATTTATTGTCTTACTAGCTTAAACGCGACTTATATGACTTAAAAGCATATTTATGAATCCCCAACTGAATTAACGAAACTAAAACGTTGGAATTCATTGAGTGCCTAAAGGTCTTAATACTCGGAAATGCATAAGTTCAAGTTCCCTTTTTCTTAGCCTAATCGATCTTAAGCCCGAGACCACCTGCAGGGGACTAAAAGCACCTTAACAAATTTTGGCAAATGACCAACATAGCTGCGGAGGTTGAAGAAAACTCTCGATGAGAATACATCCTTGTCGGATGTATATAAAATCGCTTTTAAGCATAATCCTTTGCCAGCACAAATCCCATTCAAACCGCTCGGCTTGGCTTTGATTCCGAAAGCCCCGAAAACTTTTGCGCCCTCAAATTGAAAGGAGTTTTTGTTGTGCCCGTGTGTGTGGGTGCTTGTGGCTCGGCTCTTTGGCATTAGCTACCCACCTTTGCTCCTTGAGCCACCTTTCAATGGCTCACCTTGCGAGGAGAGCACCCACAATGGGCACACACACCCACAACCACCCAGTCGCATTCAGGTGCTCACTTATTAGAGGAAAAGCAGGTGAAAACCATCCTTGAGGCGGTGACGTTGCACTCGGAAGTCAGTCTGAATTTGCAGCCCAGAAAATGGCAATAATGAAATCAAAATGTGAATGCCCTTTGCATTTCCTACTCGTAGTTTGACCCTGTTCTGAGCCTGGGCCAAAGCAAGAGAAAAGCTTCAGCTTTGGCTGAAACTAAATCTGAGCCTGGTCAGCCCCCAGGCATTTCCTTCGCCCGCCACGCCCCCTTGAATAAGCACTCATTAGTTCCCTTTCCGAGAATTGTGCGGCTTCGCTGCTTTGGCTGCTGCATAAAATTTGCATTTGAATGCTGCGTTCGAAAAGTTGAGACAAATCCATGGCGGGCATTCCCGTTAAGCTGCGGTTGCCGTTGTGAGGATTCGTTTTGGGTAGCAGGTCAAAGCTATTTTAGAGAGGCTTATTCAATTTATTAGATTTAAATTTATGTGCAGTGCGTCCTCAAAACAGTAAACTAATGAAACCCAGGGCTTTTTGATAAAGAATAAGAATCAAAATACTGTTTTTGAATTATAATTCAATAATTATATAATTATATATGCAATATTTGTCAGTGGGAAGAAAAAAATTCCAAAACATTTAAGAAAAACATGTTAAATGGTAGAGAAGCTTAATTTTCGAAAGAAAATGGTGTCAGGCGTAGACAACAAAAAAAAGGATTTTTTTTTGAATTCATTAGTAAATCTATTATATTAACTGCCATGATATAAATTCATAACTTTTCTGTTTCATACTTTCTAACATTGATGCTTCGCATTTCTATCAGAACCATCATCGCTTGTATTTTATTTCCATTTAATTAAGGTTCCTCCCATCCAAGTCTGGGACCATTTCTTTTATTTCGATTTTCTCGATGCTCCCCGCTTTGATTTAGATGCCAGATACAATGCGGCTGTAACAATTGTTGGACATCGGCTGTCCTAATGGAAATTCGCAAATCAATCCTTTCAATCACGTTCGTCCTTGATGCTTAGCCTGGAATTAGACAACAAGTTGGCCTTGACCCGATGGCTATTGTTAAACTCTTTGGGCTGGCTGGATTAATTTGTACTCCTGCACCCACTTTTATCCATTAAATATTGCCGAATTTAACTTTTAAGCAAAAAACATTTGTTAACAATATGTTTTGAATATCCAAAGATAATTTCATTTTGAAAGTAATCAGGGGTGCCTCAGAAATCGATACCATTATATCGATATCGCACTTCTTATTAGAAAGGTCTACCCTAATTGCTCATGAATAATCGCCATTCACACGAAATCAAGTGATTCTATCGATAGGTGCAGCTACATAATTGCATTCGCCATCCCTGGTAACTCCGCGTTTTGAATAAGAACATTACATTTTTGGACAATAAGTGGATTTCGACAAACGATGGCCAACCAACTTGTTAACGGCAACGATTTCGTACACATTACGGCTGACCAAGATGATTTCATCGACGTTTTGGACTTCAAGGAGGAGCCACTAATGATCTCCGAGGAGGACATGAGCAGCCACGCCTCTGAGATTGAGGGGGACATGCCTCCGGGTGAAGAATTGCAAGGAATTGAAGGTGGTCTCGCGGTTCTGGTGGCAGCCATTGAGACTTTCAAAACACAAGATGGATATATTTCCGGTGATCATTTTACCCCAGAGCCCGTAGAACCAGCAGGTGAAATTGCGGAAGAGATAGAAACCGGATTTTTCGAACGACATGGCGATCATTTGCAGCAAAACGATAACACCTACAACGTGATCTCCTCTGAGTGTTTTTCCCATCCCTCTGAAGAAGTATCCCAGATGACGCAACTGATCCGTTTTCAAAACGAGACTATCGTTTACCAGTCGTACTCGCCACCCTCGATCCCCAATTCACATGTCTGCCATTGCCGCCACAATCACAGCCGCATCCTGGAGGACGACTGCGAAATCGATATGATGGAGGTGGCCTGCATCCTGCTCAATTCGGCGGCTGCTCAAATGAGTCCCCCTGTTCAGGTGGACGAAGATACGGTGCGAACCATTGCCGACGGCCTGACCTCGGCCACGGACTTCACGGCGGGGGAGGGGATTCCGCTGATCGGACGCCAGGGGGTGGGTCGCCTGGTCGCCGCCATTATCCTGGAGAGGGAGTCGGGCATCCTTCTGGCCTACGCCGTGGCCCAATTGGTGCCTCAGGCTCTGATCGACGGCATCACAGGGGACGTGACAGGCATGATGCTCCATCAGGTAACTCGCGGATTCGGAGTCAACGACAACTACCGTCGCATCATCACCGATAACTCCGGACCCGTCCTCTTGTTGGTCAACCAAATTCCAAACTAAAAATTTCAAGCGATTTTAATACCTGGTTATTTTAAGAAATTCAAATTGCTTTAGAAAAGTTTAGCCCACTGCCGAAAGTCTAGTTAATTAAGAAGTTTTAAGAAACAGGTCCTAAAGAACAATTTTGGAAATTGATAAAAATACAATTTTTCAGCTTTATGCATAAATGTATGCCAAAAGTTTACAAGTTACCTTTTCACCATAGAAATTTATATTTTAATCTTTGAATATTTTAAACAGTAGAAATTAAATTATTTTATATAAATATGTAGACGACTAAAGTCGAAGTTACAATAATTACTGGATTTTAATATGTAACATTTTTAAGTGTTAAGTTATTGAAAAATCCTGCTTAAGTCATTGAATTTTAATATGTTATTGGCTTTCAAAATTAAAAGGCGAAATATTTGTCACTGCAATTAAGTAGAGAGATTATTGTTTTCATTGGTTGTCTACGGTTTTTCCAAATTAAAAGTCTCAGAATATTTACCTAATTTACCTTCTCTTCGATCCAAAACAAAAGAACACAAATAAATATTCTGAGATTATACTTACCATAAAACCAACAAATTGTTTTCCTAACAGAACCAATTACCCAAATGTTGAGTCGTTGAAAAGACCTCATTAAGTTATTTAATTTTATTATTTTATTGTATGTAATGCAATAAATTTGTCAGTTAAAGTTTCACATAGTTCTTAGTTTCGTTTACATATGTATGTGTAAGTATTTCCTTTCGTTATTAGTCGGTACTTAACAATAAACTTTGCTATATCATGAGTACACGTGAGTTCGAGTGTCTGTCTTTAAAAAGTAATGTCCACACCTCGTTTCGATTTCGGGACGTTTGCGTGTAATGCGATTTATTTACAATTATTCGGGATGTTGATAATTACACGTAAGGCGTCTATACGTTAATCGAGCTGATGAAAAACACTTAAGAGCTTAGAAATGTATTTTGATTTCGATTTGTATAGTACTTGCTATGGTCATATACGCCGCTTAAATCTAACAAAGTTTCATTGTTTAACATTCAGTTTTATGGGGTGTCCAATGGGCTGTTGGTGGCTTTTTGGCGGGGAAATAAAAGGCTGGAAGTTAAGTGGCGGGAGATGGGGAAGGGTGGCAGTGGGTGGATGGCTCAAAGGCGGTTAGCCGCAGACCGCGAGCATTTGATGCATGCAAGCCGGAATGTGTTAATTGTCCACACCCGTGAAAAGAATCCCTGTTAAATTAACCCTCTCCTGCCCTCCCCCGCTGTAATATTGACCACAGAAATTTATTTCCGTGGCTTTTTTTCTCGCCCATCTGCGGAGCGTGTTTGCGTTTGCATTTGCTCACAGCTGCTTGCGGTTACCTTGGCCCAGGATCAATTTGTTAAACGCTCAAAGGCGAGCGCATCAAGTATACGCAGGGTGTGACAAACGGCGCCTTGGGAGAATCGCACACATAATTAATGCCGCTTTGAGGGCATTGTTTGAGTGGGAGAATGTGTGTGTGGCCTGCACCTAATTGCAATTAAGTTGACGCTGCAGCCTCAATTTCCACGTTTCCACGCTGGAACAGAGGGAGCAGAGACAACTTTAATTAATTTCAGACGATTTTTATGGGATTTGCCGTGGATCGGGGAGTGTGTGTAATTAAAAAGGACGTTAAGTGGATAAATAAATACGAGCCGGGCCTGCGGGTTCGCGATGCACACGATGTTTACATTCTGTCCGTTTGATTTCGTTTTATTTATTTCTTTGGCCGCCTTCCGCCTTTGTCTCCTGCCCGCCTGCTATTTGTTTATTTATTTTATATATTTATTTGTATCGTTTAAATGCAATTCATTAGTGTTTGGAATACGTCTCTGGTTGGATTCTGCCATTTATATTATTTGTATATTCAATTAATTTACATTTTTGTTGAACGAGTTCGCAATAGAGTTATATACAGTTCGCGATTCAGTCCGCTCAATTCAATAAATTTACTTTCGTTATCAATTAAATTGTTTTTGTTTGCTTTTCTCTTGTTTTCTGCTGGATGTCCATTCCGATCAATGCATGTATTTGCTATAATTTTTTTGTTCCTTACGCAATTATTTACTTTATGAATTTTGGTTTTTCCCGCATGTTTCGAGCTTGTTCGTGAGATAAGAGCACATAAAATAGAGTTCCATAAATTGGCTATGCAAATGTTTGCGATGTCGCACACATATCGAAAAGTTCATATTTGCGGGTGTTCTATTTGCCAAAGATTATGTTAACTAAACTCCTTGGAAATCATGCAGAACTTCTCCGATCCTTGGGACGGCCTATTCGAGGGTATACAATTTTTGGTTGAATTTATCGGCAAAGGAAGTTGGATTTCCCGGAGTCCGGTATTTGCTAAAAATAATAAATGTTCAAAGTTGTCAGGGATCCGTGCGTGAGAGAGAGGGGCGAAACTGTGCGAAGAGTGCGGGAGATATGGCTAATTGAAAGGTTCAGCATGTCGCCACATAGGAAAGAGACTGCCAATGTTGTTCCAGACTCAAATTGCCATGCAAATGCATTCGAGTTGAATTTTTCCAAAAACGCATTCGTTTGATGGCAGGAATTTCCCAGACCCTGTCCGTTCCCTTTCCTCCTTCCCGGTTCGCTCATGCGGTCCGAATGGATTCAGGATATCGATGCAATTTCACATTGGACTGCATAAATATTTACGGTTATGCATTTATGCAAACTTACTCGGTATTTTCCACAAAACAGAGGTCCCCGCATCCGAACCGAAAAACCCAAACAAAAACTAGATAACAAAGTCAGTTAGGAGTCTGCCTAAGACTAGGGGCTTACTAACTAGTTCGCTTAGAGCCGGTAGAACTTACGATTAGCTGGGGCTCGGGGTTCTCGAAACTGCCTGCGGTAATCCGGGGATTACGGAATCATCCTCTATATGTATTGGTTATTAGTTAGTGGATAAAATCAACTAGCTTACAACATGCACTCAATTATTACGTTTAATCTCTCTTTTCCTTTCTTCTCTTCTCGCATTTGCTATTTGGGTCTATCAAGTTAATTTGGTTTTATACTTTTACGTTGGCAGAGTGTTGGGATCCCCGTCTTCTCGCTCTCTAGTAGCTGCTGTCAGTGTCTCCTGCCCTTCAGTTTGGCTTGGTGGCAGCGACATGTCATGTGCGGTGGCCCACTCCGATGATGATGACGCTGAGTAGGAGAGCCAGGATGCTGAGGGCGTAGGCCCGGGTGGTGGCTGCCGACGAGGTGACCGCCGAGGCCGACGATTCGCCTACGAAAATTCAGAGGAAAAAATCAAACATTGTGGCAATTTGTCTCCCCTGCACAGAAAGAAATTATATTCTATAAATTATTGATATATTATATTATACAATTTTATTGCTGCATTATATTAAACATTTATAGTAAAATTTGTTTATATAGTGTTGGGATGTATTACCAAATATATTTAAAATTCTGCCAAGTAAATTCTGTATAAAATCCCTTATAATATAAGGCTTATAGAGAAGTTTTTAGCAAACTCGGCTTATATATAAAATCTGTAAATAAACTGTGCCCAAATTAAAAACTAATAATGGTGCATAAGCCAAATTAATTTCTTACCTAATTTTAATTTATACGAAAGTACCCAATTAAAATTTATTGTTTTGATATAATTAATAGGTAATAACGCATTTAATTATTACCTGATTTAAATAAAATATCAAAGTAATGTAAACTATTTTTTGGCCAATTTAATATGAGAGTGTAATACGACTTTAAGACTTAAATTACTGTAATATTGGTTTATATTTTTTGCGTGGAAATTCCCGCTCTGCAACTCACCATTTATTATGTTCAGCGTTACGGTCGCACTGGGGCTATTCGACGGGCTACATGTGTAATTGCCAGTATCGCGCTTCTTGGCCGACTCGATGATTAATGAGCCAATCTGCAGAAGAAGAAAAACACAGGCCGCTACAGTTACAGTATCAAGTGCCCAAGGAAAAGTTCGGAAAGAAAAAGATAAACACAGGCAGTTTTCATTCGGACATGGACACACGTACTCCAAATATTGGGCATGTGCCGGAACTGACTTTTTGCGCCGTTCCAGGGGAACAAAGTTATGGAGGCAATTAGGCGAAATGCGACAAAACTGAAACTTTTGCGAAACAATATTATAATATTTCTTGCTTGCCAGCAGCAGCCGAGAATCCATTGGAAATTGAGAGTAATTAAATTAAAATCAACAAGGGAGTCTTTGGGTCGTGGAAAAGTGGAAGAATATCAGAATTACAGAAGAAAAAAATGATTTTAAAAATTTAAATAAAAGATTTTAGAAATATTGAATTAACCTAGGAAAATGTAATAATATTATAACAAGAAGTTAAACAAATTATAGCCATTAATTTATTGTCTTAATGCAGTACAAAGATTTCTTATAGGTTTACAAATTTGGGAAATTTATTACGATTACACTCATAGAAATTTTTACCCTAAATCGCCCTAAAAAACTGACTTTTCGCCCGTGGATTTAGAAAATCGCCCATAAATCGTATCCGCTGGCGATTCGCCCGTGTATTTAGAAAAATTTTCTAAAAAATCCCGATGGAAATTTGGTTTAATTTAGGGTGAATTTTCTTGAAATAAGAAATATTTTCCTGTTTTTAGGGTGATTTGCCCTAATTTTAAGGTGTATTTTTCTAAAATTAAGGGCGAATTTTCTGATTTTATAGGCAAATGCCCTAAAAAATTAGACAAATTAAAAAAAATCGTGTTTGAGCATGCTTAACTGAATTTGGGAAGCATGTTTTTTTTTTAATCGTCTATATTCTGGGACTGCTGCTTTAATTAAACAACACCGGCGGAGGACACCGTTTCATATTATTGTATTGGTGTGTAGCTTATATGGAAGCTGCGTTAAGAGGGGGGCCCGATCTATTCAACACAGCCGTTAGAACTGAAAAATCATGTTTGTAAACGAATTAGGGAAATAAATATGAGGAGAAAAAACAACTTACTTTTTT